AAAAAAAATTGTGGACGTCATAAATGGATGACCCCCACATTCTGTTGATACGCCCTGTTGCCTTTGTTTTGTGACTTTCCTCAACACACACACATACACATACAACCATGGAGGCAGAGTTTCAGTGCTATAAACAGGGCATATCATTAGACAAAACAGGGGAAGAATTTGAAACATCTCTAGAAAGTAAATTAAGAAACAGATAGTAAGAAATGTCAAGAACGAAAGCGGAGTTAGCGATCGAATTAGTGAAACGGAAAGTACATCAAATAGATAACACGCAACTGCCCTAGAACACCAACCCAATTACCAAGGATGTGACCCGGACCGCCCCCACGAATGATTTTGAATAACGGACACGATAGTGAAGTCAAGTCGAGTTAATTTGTGAATCTAAGTCGAGATGTCGGCGTGAAGTGGCAAGTCGATACACTCAGTTGTGCTGTTAAAGTCAGTGAAGTAAATTAAGTCAAAACTGAAGTCAAAGAGGCAGAGGCGTAGCTAGGGGAGGGCGGGGAGGGCGGCCGCCCCGGGCGCCGGCCCTAAGGGGGCGCCACAAGGGGGTAGAAAAAAAAATTACAAGCTCATTTTAAGCTGCAGTTTTGAATTATAAAAAGTCAAAGTAAAGAAATTTAACGGCTGAGAGCCTTTGCATACTGATTTAACTGTTTTCTACCTTGATTGAGTAACTGTAAAAGGTATATCCTTAAGAAACAGTGACCGGAAAAACTGCTTTCCAGCTTTCCTAGATGGAGGGGGGCGCTTTTTCGAAGACTAAAATCGGAAAAATTAAGGAATAAATAACCCTTACCACTCAGAAAAGAACCCATGGAACAAAAGCGTATTTTACGATTGTGTAACATAAAAACAAGAGTTAGTGACGTTTAAAATCCGCTCTAGCATTTTTGTCCAAGATGGTGGGGAAGGGGGGGGGGGGCTTTTTCACCCACAAAAATCGCAGGATTTGTACTGGATCGGTTACTGGATGACTCTTTTAACACTTAGAAAAGAATTTTTTTTCCTCTAGCTTGTTTCATTATACAATCAACCAGTCAATGAAATACCCATATCCTATTCCAATGTGAACAAGAAGTTGCTATTGTATGTCAATTGTATGACCTTAATCTAACAAACTTATAATCCAAATATATACTATATCATAAAAGAGACTGTTCCAAAGATAAAACATAAAAAATACTGTCCTAAACAAATTAGCACCGTAAAAATATTTTTTTTCTGACATTATATCATCATCTTTAAAGGATAATGCACCATATGGGGAATTTAATTTGCGTTGAGTTAAGTTTTAGGGAACGACAATCATACAGCGTAATTATTAATTTTTTTCAAGACTGTCGCACATACATACACACACACATATTTAAATATATATATATATATATATATATATATATATATATATATATATATATATATATATATATATATATATATATATATATATATATATATATATATATATATATATATATATATATATATATATATATATGGCGGGGCGCCAAACTGAATGTTCGCCCCGGGCGCCGGGAGGGGTCGCTACGCCTCTGTAAAGAGGTCATTTGAAGTCAGTTAATAAAGTCGTTGTTAAAGTCAAAGTGAAGTCCTTGAAGTCAAAGTAAAGTGGTTGAAGTTCTATTGAAGTTGTTGAAGTCAAAGTGAAGTCTTTGAAGTCATATTTAAGTCGTTGAAGTCAGGGAAAAGTCTTTGAAATCAAAGTGAAGTTGTTGAAGTCTTTGAAATCAAAATAAATTTTTTTAAGTCAATGTGTAGTCGTCGAAGTCTAAGTCAGTCAGTGAAAACTATTGAGTTACATTGAAGTCAAAGTCGGTCAGAGAGGTCTATTAGTAGTAAGTCAGTCGTCAAAGTGAAATAAGTCGGTAATAAAAGTCAGTCAAAGTGAAGTCAGTCGAGTTACGGAAGTCAAAAGTGTAGTCAGTCATTAAGTCAAGTCAGCCAGTTTTAAGTCAAATGAGAAGTCACATAGTGAGAGCTGCTCCACTATATGATCACGTGTTGAAATGTCGATTTGAAACGGCACGATATTATTTATATACACTTACATGTCTATTCTTTTTGTGAAGCTATTTCTAAGCTCTAGTAATTTTTACGTCTATTTAATTTATTGTCTGCGCGGGCACTAAAGTTATAAATAGACAGAAAGACCCACCCACGCTTCCAAAGAATGAGACAAGATGAAGCCGACACTTCAAAGAATGCCGCCACCGCTGAGGCCCCTGTACACGTTGGGTTACCTGGACAGCGAACAGCCTGCTGTACGTGAATCGCCCTAGCCAAAGCAACGGACGCCATCGTCGCCACCGTTTCGCCCCCACACTGGGGTTATCTAACAACAGACCGCCAGCTACGTACACCTACGTCGGCACATACAAAGGGTAGACGACCCACGCCCAAGTTCCCAGCGTCGGAATGTTACGTCACGGTTCACCATCGCATCCGCCCAGCGTTGTGTCATTGCATAACCACTCGACATAGACGTCTCAACCAGCGTTGAGATGAGATTGTTGCGTCATCACATTTACCAACGAAAGTTGCCAACACGCGCCTAAAGGGAATTTACGTCGACCAACGCCACACGCCACCCACCACAGAGGATCGACAAAAATTACATAACACCAGGGTACATGCGGCCTCCTGAAATTTCAGAGTGTCCTGGAGTTCTCCTGGAATTAAAAAAGGCCGATTCTAGTCGATTATACTAGTCGGAATAAGATACGCATGCGATACGCATGCGCAATGGAGAGAAACTACGACTTAGCGGCGATGTTTTCGATGGTACTGCGCATGCGTGTGTTTACAACCGCAGAACCCTAATACCAACCCTAATCCTGTCCTTAACCCTATCCCCAATCCTATCCCTAACCCTAACCCTAGCCCTAATCCTATCCCTAACCCTAGCCCTAATCCTATCCCTAACCCTATCCCTAATCCTACCCCTAACCCTCATTCTAGCCCAAACCCTAGCCATAGGTCACTGCGCATGCGCAGAACTATCTTTTGCCGAAAAATCTTATTCCGAGTAGACACTTCGATTAAAAAAACACACAACAACTCCTGGGATTCTCCTGAAATTTTGTAAAATGTCCTGAAATTTTACTCGCGTGGATAATTTTAGCGTATATTTTTTTCGTGCGTTAGATCTCTAGGTAATCAGATCTGACCAGCCCCCCCCCCCCCCCCCCTCACATATTGGAGAAAAGTTTTCACTCGCCTGAAATAAAAGTAAAATTTTACAACGGAAGATATTTTTGGAAAAAAATAATTTGTATTTTCAAATTTGTAATCAAGTTCGTTTATAGGACGATTCTAGTTGGATGAAGATGCACAAGCGAATAGTGCTACAATTAACTGCTTTTTTTCTTGTCATCAATTTGTTCGATGTTTAGGCTTAAGTGTTGTATTGATGGGACTTGGAATAATACCATAAATACTTAAAGAGTAGATTTTAATAAGCTATTAAATAATTTTTCTACAAATTGTATACTTAACTTTGAGACTATATCTCTTTATTGTATATACTATTACTACACTTTGAACCCTAAAACTCAGATAATCCACTCGAAGAACAAAGAACTCAGAAGAACAAAGGTTAAATAATAGGATAATTTGATACTGTATTTGATAAATGTTAATGACGGTTATATATGTGTGCTAAAAATCTAGCATTTCATTTTCAATTCGAATATTATTATACCAGCTTAACACAAAATATAAATTACAACAAAATATTCAAGCAAGCATTTTGTATAATTTCTTCCAAGTTAGGCTATACAAAAGTAAACATTCAGTTGTATATCTAATACTGACTTTACTTTTGTTTCCAGGGCTTTAACTTTAAAGTTTAAATGGACACCAGCGAGAAAAGTCTCAAAGGTATTTGAGAGGTGTATAAATTTGACGACGTCATACTTCGTTTTTCGAATTACTATGCATGTTTTTAATTACCTTGTGTTTTCTCTAGAGCGTTCTTGTCAGACAGACAGCGAAACTATTAGTATTAATAACACTACGGGGGATGGCAACTCGGGATATAGACATGATTTTTAATCCATTTTAAATACTCAAATTTTTAAAAATAGAATATAATCTCGTAGAAAAAAGAAATGCACACCAAGTGAACGCTAAATAAAGATGTGCATAATAGTGCGCAATATTATTAGTACTTTATAAATTTACATGCGTTTTTGAGAAATCGGAAGTAGCGTAAATAAGTACTTCCGATAAACGGAAATTACTCAAAATTTGACAGAAGGTAGAGAATTAGATCTTCTACTTACATATCAAATTTCATTTATCTATCTGAAATAGAACTCAAGTTATAGGCTTTTGAAAAATTCAAAGTAGAAAAAGTACCACTTCCGGTTATCGGAAATCGCTCAAAAGTTGATACGGATCTACGATTTTGATAAAATACTTATATATGAAATTTCATCAACCTAGCTGTAACGGTACTCAAGTTATCGTGTTTACACACGGACACACACACGGACAGAATTGGATAATCCAGTTTTTCCAACTCCATTACGCATAAAACGCCAAAATTTTTATATATCTGAGTTTATAATTTTTGCCCGATTAAAATAAGTCTTCTATATCCCGGGTGTGATGAAGGACTGAGGAGTAAAACGGTGAAAACTGTCCAAATTTAATGTTAATTAAATGTGCATGATTACAAGACTTTCTCTATACTTCGTATATACGAGAAAGTAAAAATTGTATTTTATTTTTCCTGTTAAGAAGGGTTCGGTGAATGCGCATATGAAAATGGTGGGATTCGGTACCCCCAAAAGGGTTAAACAATTGGCCTACGAACTATTTAAAAGTAACTAGACTTTTATTCTCTTTCGTTATTATTTATGGCCAGCCTCCTTGACAGTTTTCTGCCCAATTGGTACTAATGCGCTGATTGGCCAGCGTCTTTACCTAACTATGTTAGGCTAACCTAGGCTAGAGCCTCGTCCTAGGCCTATCCGCATTCGCGCCACGAGGCGTAGATCTTGATTCTACCTGCAGAACGTGGTGATACTTTAAAACTTTTATTAAAAGTTCAGTTTAGATCTAGTACCTCAGTGAGATTCTATAAATGTAGATCTCGGAATCTAGATCCACTTTTTCTAGATCTAGGGTGGAGAAAAGTCTGCGTCTGCTGCTATCTAGCTAGACTAGTCTAGGCTCTAATCTAGACCTAGAGTCTAGATCTAGACTTAGATTCTAGAATCTAGATCTAGATCTAGAATCTAGAAGAATCTCATCAGTAAAACTAAGCACACAATCTAGCTTTCTAGAATCTGGTGTGTTGCAGTAGCCAGTGAGTGAAGTGAGTGTGACACTGTAACTTAAACAATATCTATCTAGATCTAGATCTAGTCTAGATCTAGAAATCTAGATTCTTATTCTACTGATTACTGAATGATACTAGATTCTAGATCTAGAATCTAGATCTATTACTAGATCTAATACTGACTTTACTTTTGTTTCCAGGGCTTTAACTTTAAAGTTTAAATTAAAATGTAGATTCTAATCTAGAATAGAATCTAGACATTAGACATCTAGATCTAGATCTAGAGACTAGAGAGATCTAAATCTAGATCTACCAGATTTTTATTTTCGTTTGTTTGCTTTCTGTGTTACTGAAGAGATTTTAAATCTCTTTGGTGTCAAAGAAAGCATATAGAAAAAGCTTGACACCAACATGTTGTGATTCATGACACACAGCATAGAAATTTTCAAGCTGACACTCCCATTACCTAATTATTAATTAATCTAGATCTAGATCTAGATCTAATTATAATTTATAGGCCTAACATTCAAATTAAAGCTTCTAGCTAGATTGATCTAGATATCTATTAACTATTAATTAGGCCTAGATCTATCTAGTTTCAGTATAACTATAAGTAGTATACAACTTACCAGCGAGTCATTTAGAAGTGATGAGATAGGCCCTAGCTCAGCTAGACTTATAATATTTTGTATTTTTTATTTAATGAGTAGGCCCAGCCATTTTTAAAGATTTCATAAAATGGCCTTCTTAGACTGGTAATAGGCCTACTATATCTAGATCTTATCTACATCTACAACATTGTAAGCCGTAAGGATTGTTGGTACTGAGATCTAATCTAGATCTGGACCCTACGCACTACCACTTAAATATTTAAAGATTTTAGTAAGGGCCTAATTAGCCCTAATCAGGCTAATGCCCTGACATTAGTGACATAGGCCTAACTAAAATACAACATTAAATGAAATGAGCATTATTGCTTGATTTATTAAGGAAGGCGTAAGATATTATTTATTAAGGATAGGCCATAGGCAGGCTATGTCCTAACTAAAATACAACATTAAATGAAATGAGCATTATTGCTTGATTTATTAAGGAAGGCATAAGATATTATTTATTAAGGATAGGCCATAGGCAGGCGTAGCCTAATATTAAGCAGGTCACTGTAGGCTCTACGTGATAAAGTGATAATTGTTTATTGTGCCACCAACTATAGATCTAGAAATCTAGGTGCTAGTCTATATTGAACCTGATAACCATCGTTTAGGCCCATAGTTTATTTCCCTGTTTAGCAGAGCTTTTTCTTCACCTTGATTAATTGTCTGTGATGATATATTGAACTCTCTCACTGATTCGCATTGATGTCATTAACATATCTGAGACATGTAGGCCTAATTGTAATACCAGGATTATAAAATTATACAGCTGGCCCTGGTTTGCAGTCAACTTTTATCTTAAAATTTATAGATGATGGCTGTGTCAGAAGTGCTGTTAGTACAGGTAATGGCAGCGTCAGAAGTGCTGAGTGGTGGTATAGATCATGGCTGTGTCAGAAGTGCTGTTAGTACAGATGATGGCAGTGTCAGAAATGCTGTTGGTAACGTCAGTCTATTTGTGTAAGTATCTGTTGCCTTGGACCATTTGCATTTAAGTTGCCATACTTGATGATTGAATTTAGCTATCTGATGACATGATAGACAAAATTTCGCCCCTATCTGATATGGCATATAGAGAATCTGGTTGTCAGCAATTTCAAAACAATTAACTGGTAAATATCTGCTTTATAGGACGCACAATTAGTCATTTGAAGCTCATGATGTATGCTTCCCTGACCTTTGGGTATGCCTTTTATTTTGTCTCAGTTTTAATATACTCAATATTACTAGCCTAAAGAACTCCCAGTAGATGTCCATTTACTCAGGTGTTTTGCCAACTTATAACATAAGTTTATTTATGGTTACAATGGAACTATGACATTCTGGCTCCAGATAGGTAGTGTTATGTAGCAGTGGGAACCTGGGCAAACTAGAACTTTTAGCAGATTTCTCTCACAATGTCTATTTTAAATTACTATTGCTCCTGGATTTTGAATTTTTGAAAGTCATACAAGATGAACTTTTTAGTGTTTGAATGATCTCAATTGCCAGTCTGAATCGGCTTAAAAAATATTGGTTCTCTATAAATAGTGAGAGTGGTAATAAATATCTAATCTATATTTGTTCTTTGTGCAATGTGTCTGTGATGAAAACAGAACTCTCTCTTCCTGATGTAAATTTGATGAAATAAGCTCTGAGGCACATTAAGCCCATTAAAATTAAGTTATAGTATGAATGTTGTCTATTGCGAAAGTAACTAAATGTGGTTTTGAAATTTATTCTGAGTTTCTAGGATATAATATTGCTGTTGTGAAATATTATTTTTGTGTTCAATGATTTAAAATTTTTGTTTGCATTTTTCAAATAAGTATTTGAAGATCACTACATATTCCTTACAACTAGTTTCCATTTAAATGCTGCTGGTAGGTAGGCAAACATGGCTATGATGAATATTTTCCAACATTCGCGGTTTCCACCAGAAGAACAGATTGAGTTCTAGAGATGGCATTTGTCCTTCCTTGGATGTCTGAGCCATGTTAGCCCTCCAAATATTATTTGTACATTATGTGCTTCCTACTAGTACCTACTTCATTTACAAGTAGGCAAAGGAGTACCTTTCTAAACCCAGTAGGCCTACATTGTATGGTTGTGGTAAATGCTTTTGATATTTTGCACGTTGTTTGAGTGGTTGATTTCTAAGTACAAGATACAGATATCCTATTAGTTGCTGAATTTTTCTGAAATATTTTCTTCATCTGCTCCTATAGTTTCTATAGCTATGGTATGGAAACAGTTTTTAATTGCACTGCTAACCTGTTTCTCCTGGGTAATATTTTTACCTTGTGTGTCACAGAGAGCAAATAGCATCACACTTGACACCAACATGATTGTGAAATTATGACACATCATAGAAAATTCCAAGTGAACATTGTTAATTCTTGTCCTTACATATGAGCATTTTTACATTGAATGGAATACAACAATCATGTTGACTTTTTTGTTTTTAGGTTACTTATCTCAATGAATGGTGTCCTGTACAGTGAATACAATATGGGTATGTACAAGATCATCTTTTTTTCCAAATTACTTTACAAGCCTTTTGAGAGATTTCTTGTGATGAAGTAATAGATAGGGACAACTGATAAAATGATTGATTTATCAATTCTGAATGAAATCTCATCTACTGTCCTTTATACAGTTTCTAATTTAATATTAAAGCTATAGACCTAGTTTAGTATTAACAAAGTTAAATAATGGATTCTATATATCTATTTTCATCTCAGATTTAATCTATCATCATAAATTATTTTTCATTTAAACATTTCAACAACGGTTGAACTACAAAATGAAATTACATGTTTATTTTGGCTGTAAATTACGTTCTGAATAAGAAATGGTCTGGTCTCTGTTTTAAAATTAGATGGAGTTAAAAGTATCATCTAGCTCAGGGGTCTACAAACTGCAGGTCGATTGCGGCCCCCGAAGTCCTCTCATCCCGCCCGCTGAGACCTTTTTGTCCACGGGGAAAAAATGTTTGTTGGTGAAGGCTGAGGAACTTTGCCCAGAAAAAATTCAAGACTTGTCTGGAACTAACTGGCCCCCGAACTGAAAATTGATAGTTAATGCAGCCCTCGGACTGAAAAGTTTGGAGACCCCTGATCTAGCTCCTGAGCTGTCCATCTTTAGTTATAAATTAGTGGTACAAAAATTCTTAATAAATTAATGATTGTACTATCATGTAAGGGATATTTTTATTGGTTTTATGTGATGATGTGATCAAACAATGGGAATCTCTCTGACTTTCTGATGATTGTTTGTTCTGACAAAACCATTATTTCAGTTTTTGTTTTTTCAATTTTGATCTTTATTTCTTACTTATTTGGTGTTACTTTTATTCCCAGGAAGGCAAGCTACATGTTTGCAGGTAATTACTTCAATCTTTTTAAAAGTTACTTTAATCAAGAGATTTGTATGATGAAGAATCTGATTCTACCAGATGAGTAATCATGATTACATACAACCGTTCCATTACTTCTGAAAATCTCTTTGGGTTACTGTATGTTTATCTAAGAGCCGTGGTTTATTGAAGGTTTTACATTAGTCATGAGATTACTGTTTTGTGGATAGCTTCAAATGCCAAAATAATTTTATAAATAAGCAAAGTAGATATCTTCAATTTTCCTTAAAATGCTTAATCTTTTGATGCCAATTATAGGAGTTAGTTAATTGGCTCTAGGTGCCTGGCCACATACAGTTTTTATATTAGTGTTATTTAGTTCAAATTCATGATACAATAAAATATAATAGAAATTTATCATTCATTTAAAAGATCAATGGCAGTTATTTCAGTCCAAGTAAAGGCTACTGCTAGGCCCACTAGATGCATAAATAAACATCAATTGAACACAATTAATATAACATGTTAAGTTTCACACATGTAGATAGCATGTCTAAATGATAAAGCATACCAATAAAATTGAAGTAATATTTCTATGGTTGACAAATGACATGCTAAAGCACATCACTCCGTTAGACCATCTGTCTGTGTATGGACATACCACTAGTGGTCAGTGACCCTCTTTGTCCTAGCTCCTCAAGTCTTTGTAATTATACCAGTTTTTCTTTGCCTACTGATTGCATCTAATTGTCAATTTTTCGGCTTGCTGAACTGTTTGTCCTTTACTGTACAGTAGCTGCTCAAGGTGCCATATAAGTCTTTATATTGAATATAACTGAAGTCATACATGATGATCCGATAATCCATATATAAAATGATTGAATTATATCGCCCCAGTCTGATGTGACTTTGCTGTTAGGCTTAATTTTACCCAATGGCATGTACCATCTTGCAATTGTGGACATGTGTAAGGATATCTTTTTAATACCATTGAATTTATTTTACAGCCATTGTCACTACAAGGGTCTAGGTTTAAACATGGCTGACCTCTAACAGAGCTAGACTAAGGTGGGTACCATTTTAATGCTATTTAATACTGAATGTGATAAATGCATTATCTGTACTCATTTGATGACAATAATGCCCCCGTCTGAATCAATTCTAACCTTCAATTTTGAGATTGTGTGTAGGAAATGCTTTGTAGCAAATTGCATTGAATGTAATAGCTATAGATTTAGACTTCTGGTCTTTTTTTATCTTTAAATTTTAGTCTGCTGGTGTACAGAAATTTGGCAACTCAAGTACGGTCTATCCTCTATGTAAGTATTATTTTAAAAATATATTTCTCTGTGATGATACAGATGACGAGTCTGCTTTCAAAGTTCCCATAAACGAAGTCAGTTTTTGGCTAGTTTTTGGGTTTTCTTTGATCGTGTGATGACACTCGAGGCATTTGTCTGAGAGGTTTATTTTAAGTTTGCCGTGTAAATATAATTACTTTAACCCTATATTGCATACTGTAGCCATATGGCAACGTACCATTTTGAACAACTACAAATGTTTAATTTTACATATACACATTAACTATAGTGTTTCATCCCTTTATTATAATCTCCCTTACAAAATAAATGCGAACTCTTTTTAGCAGAAACATTTTTGTTCCATTTCCGATTTCATTTTTGTGAGAAAGTGGGCCAGCTGATTACCATGAAGGTTGGTATTTTTTTATAATTTTTTTTTTCATAAAGTACTTCTTACTTCACTATAAAAAAATTATAATGATATTTCAAAACTATTCTAAATTGTGTATATTCTATCATATGTATCATGTAATATGATTTACATACTTATTTAGATCGAAAATGGTTTGTTGCCATATGGCATCATATTGCAACAGAGGTTACTTTCAGGCTCTGTAGCCAAATGGCAACAATAAATCTATTTTTTGTTTTTCAAAATTTTTTCAATGTATTTAGTTATATTCAAAGAAGATAATAATGCTCCTATTACCAATTACTTCCTAAGTTCTTTTGTTGAGAGGATGTAACAGAAAGAAAATGTATTTACTAAACTTATCCGCCTACTAATAATAGGCCTATTTACTAGGATTAGTATAACTACTAAAAAGATCTAACTATTTTAGCACATATATCACTATAAAAATATATATATAAACTGTTATTGGCAAATGCAATATATTATTTAGTCAAGAACATTACTAATTTAGAATAGAAATAGTATTACTTATATAAACTTTACAATATTTTGACTATCGGCTAATAAAATTTATAATATAATCCTAGCTTATATGATTTAGTTTTTAATTTTTTAATTATTTTTTCAGAAGCTGCTAGTTACTGATACAAATGAATTCTAGAGAATTTTATTAGAGTAACATGAAAAGAAAGTTAGAAGCATCACCAAACAGATGACCAGGAAACACTTCAGATACATTTCCCATTTCAAAATCATGACGGTTAGTTACAAATAGATTTAGGAGCTCTGTAATCATAAAACAATGTTTACAAGATAGTAATCAATGACACTATCTATTGATAATGTATTAATTGATTGGGCACACTGCATGTCAGGATATCTAGCCTGAATTACCAATATAATTAATTATACCTTAGGGTTTATTTAGCGCAGAAATGTTATTGACGACACGAGCATATTTGTTTGACTAATTATTGTTAGAAATGTTAACCTTTTCTTATAGGGAAACAAATATTTGTGTACTATTGACACAGTAAGTTTTATTCCAGTAGCCTACAGTTAAATAGTGGGTAATCTGATATTTTTATTTGTTATTCAGGTGAAGAAATATGAAACACGGCACAAGTTCTCTCAGAAGAAACAGATTATGCCACCCCAGAAATAAAGTGTCTGACACCACACCATTGTAGGACCAACAAATAAAATCAACAAGTTGTGGACAATTATGAGAATATAAAAGATACTAATATAATTGGCTCTCTTGTTGTAAAGTGATAGTTGTATGGGAATTGTGTAAATAATTCAATTTTGAAATTCAGTTTTGTAAAAAAAAAATTTAAAAAGTGCTAGGAACATTTTTGTTAGCCATCATAATATATGTTAGTGTTGTAAATATTTGTAAATATTACAGCAGCTAGAATACATGGTTATTATCTGGTAGATATTTTAGTAATCACAATAATGTAAGGGGGTAAAAAGTGTATTGTACCATGCGGCTAAAAGAACAACTATCACTGGATAATTTATGTGCTTGTATAATTTTTTTTATAAATCTCTTAGCTACAAGAAACTTACTACAACAAGCAAGTTCAAGAAATACACACCTGTGTCAATCCCATTAGGAAATCTGCTATAGCAACTTATTTTAGCTACAGTATTCTCATGTGATAAAAAATAAAGATATGTTATACTAAGTTACTCATAATACTTTCCAAATTTACCTAAACAGATAAATAATGGTACTTATTGTGTTAGGTCCAAAATAAGGGTTAGGATTATAATGCAATGAAATAATGTGATCATTGATTTCAATACCAAGCATCCAACACAAGTTTTGGAAGTTTATCTCTTTCTTATGAGTTTCATATATAAATAAATACATTTTTATGTGTTTTAGTAGTATGTGAAAATTACCAATATGTGTTGAAATACATATATTATTGATATGTTTAATAAATCTCTAGTTTGTTTTGCCCTAGAGCTTGTTTGTCTTTGTTTATACTAAAATTTGTTAGTTTGTTGCCATTTGGCAACTACTGAAATTTTTACCCTTATACGCACCATGTTGCCGCATGGCAACATACCTACAAAAGCAATATCCCATAATTTTTTTTACAAATCATCCATATAGAAGTGATCTATGATCTACCCATAACATAAACACAGCATAGAAATTTTTTCCATGTTCAAATAAAAAAGCGTGCAATATAGGGTTAATGATCTAAACTTCATTTATTTTTTACCAGAATTATGACTTTACAAGCTCACAAAAGCAATGTCTATTCAGGTTGGTAATTTGCCTTACAATTCAGCTTATTTGTGTTGAAACAGATGAGTCTTTTTTTGTAATTAATTTTTTTTTCTTTGCCTAATGATTGCATCTAATTGTCAATTTTTCGACTTGCTGAACTGTTTGTCCTTTACTGTACAGTAGCTGCTCAAGATGCCATGTCTTTATATTGAATATAATCAAAGTCATACATGATGATCCGATAATCCATATATAAAATGATTGAATTATATCGCCCCAGTCTGATATGACTTTGCTGTTAGGCTTAATTTTACCCAATGGCATGTACCATCTTGCAATTGTGGACATGTGTAAGGATATTTTTTTAATAACATTGAATTTATTTTACAGCCATTGTCACGACAAGGGTCTAGGTTTAAACATGGCTGACCTCTATCAGAGCTAGACTAAGGTGGGTACCATTTTAATGCTATTTAATACTGAATGTGATGAATGCATTATCTGTACTCATTTGATGACAATAATGCCCCCGTCTGAATCAATTCTAACCTTTATTTTTGAGATTGGTTGTAGGAAATGCTTTATAGCAAATTGCATTGAATGTAATAGCTATAGATTTAGACTCCTGGTCTTTTTTTTATCTTTAAATTTTAGTCTGCTGGTGTACAGAAATTTGGCAACAAGTACGGTCTATCCTCTATGTAAGTATTATTTTAAAAATATATTTCTCTGTGATGATACAGATGACGAGTCTGCTTTCAAAGTTCCCCTAAACGAAGTCAGTTTTTGGCTAGTTTTTGGGTTTTCTTTGATCATGTGATGACACTTGAGGCATTTGTCTGAGAGAAAATATATCATACCTTTACATGACATGAGTCTTTTCTGTGTAACTTAGATTGTCACATGTTGTCTTTCTTTCCCAGTATAAAAGCTGTTTACAAGATATTTGTCATTGTATATTTTACTTGTTATACTGCGTAACACTTGCGACATGTATACTATACATTTCTAGGGAAAAAAACTTCGCAATAGGGGAGCCTACTCACTTAATGCGAAGTTTTTTTTCTAGACATGTATAGTATACATGCCGCAAATGTAAACGCGGCATTGGGGTTACAATTTGACTTACTTTTTGTGGATGTTTTTCTACGCTTGTGGATATTCAATAATATATATAAAAAAATTAGAGTAGGCAGTTAATTTAGACATTGAATTAGTCATTAAAACTTAATTTAAAAATTCCTAAATTCAGTAATTAAATGGGATATTATAAGATAAAATGTGACGTTAGTTTGATCAGCTAGCCACTGACTGTACTGTTTCTTCACAGCTGAGTGAGTTTTAGACATTGCAGGCCGATGATCTGCTTTTCATGCTGTAGTAGCTTCAAAGTTTTAGGAATATTACTTAAGTGCGATTAACTTAATTCTAACACGAATTAGTCATCTTTTTTTTTCTCAATAACCAAAGGTACCTGCTGATCTGAAAACTCATAGACTTGGATTCAGCCTGCTTAGGCCACCGTTGTGAGGAAAGCCAAATGGTCAGTTGCCTTCACTGAGTTTAGTACCAGTTTGAGGTATGTCATCATGCAAGGCACATACACCTTACTAGAGAAAACATAAGTTCTTGAAAATTTAGACATCATTTTTCACCAGCATTCTCTTGTGTGCTTTCACCTGTCTAGTGCATGTAACAAAAAAAATTATTACAAAAATTTAGAAATCATTTGCATTGATGGCTTAATTTATCATTTTGCAGAACTTGACCACTCTGAGGAACGTATTGAGGGCTGAAATTAACAGTCTGCACAAACAGTCAAAGCAGTGTGGGTGAAGGACAAGGAAGATGTTCTGTTTTATTAGGACAGATGTGGCTCTGAATATGAATTTGAAGACCGCTAAAGGTTTTTCCTTTATCTATGTTAATAGATACTCAGAACTGATTTTTCAAACCTATCATACAGCAATTGTTTTTATTTTAATGTGTAGTACTAATTATTCTAAGGATGGGGGGGGGGGGGGGGGGGGAGATTTGTGTACATTCTGCTATTTGAAACTTTTTGATGACTTACTCCTATAACTCTTCAACTATACACATGAGGACAGGAACACTCTTATTTTCCGACATTAATTAACGATATCAACTTCTATCATGAAATAGAATTAACTCTATTATCAAACACTAATATACAATATCAAAAACACATCCTTTTCCTACAATGGCTAACCCAAAAGTGTCTTCACTCCTACGTCATTGGTAACATTGTCGCATCATGCTCATGCCACAAATATTTTATAAAACAGGCGCACAATACTCTTGAACCAAATTGTCTACCATAAAGTTCACACCGTCCTTATTAGTCTCTACCAGTCTAGTGTTTTATCTATCTATGCTATGACAATGTGGGTACCAAAATTATTTCTGTAGGACAATTAGGAAAAAAGTTATGAGATTCTGAACTTTTTTTTTTTTACCTTTTTCGGTCCAATGATGTAAGGTCATTTACCTTTATTCTGAAAATAGCATACACAGACTGAACATCCAGTTTTTTTTTTAACATGCTGTTAATTTGCAGCATGAAAATTTAGTGTCTCAAAATTGACACGTCATTTTTACACAATTTCAAGGGAGGTGGAAAAAAAATGTAATTAGACCACCACAGCAAAGCTTAATTTGAGTAGAATATAAAATGCAGAACTTCTAATTATCAATCAAAAATTTACTGTCTCAATGAGAAACCAATGTAGGGGTATAAAAAATTTACAATAAAAGGCAGCAAAAATGCCCTCACACATGTCAAAGTACTATAACCACCTTAGAACAGATTGAAATTATATGTAACTAGTGTAGTTACTAAAGACGATTGATAATAACGCAATAGTCTGTCAACTAAGACATGACCAAGGCCAAACTGAACGGATGCAGGTGGTGTGACAGAAACAGAAACAAAAGTCTAATAATAACTAATACAAGGCGACTGCGTAGTTGGGAGGCGATATAATAGGACGGCACGACAGAAGGGAAGAGAACAGAAGTTGAAGCCTGAACTGTAGATACGTGTTTTAATTTGTGAGAATAAGATTGGAAGCCTGAACCATGGACACGTGTATTCTGATGTGAGGACAGTGGGGGTCAGTTGGTTCATTGTATTCTTGTGGAACATTGATGCATTGCTATGTGGAACATTTCTATTGATGCAATTAATAAAGAGATAAATGTAAACCTGCACTTCAGACCCAGATAAGGTGCTAGATCTAATTGTGGAGACCTTTGGTGAGAGACGGTCGGGGTCGCAACTGCTATCGGGGTTCGTAGGTCTAAAGCAGAGACTGGCGGAGAGTGTGATGGAATATTCACACCGAATGACGCTGTAAAAGGCAAAACACCCGACATTGATGCACGCCTGCTGAGGGATCATTTTATCGAAGGGTTAGCAACCCCTATCTTAAGAAGAGATTTGAAAGAGGTGTACAAGGACCCACAGTTGACCTTCCTTCAGGTCAGGAACTCAGCGATCCGCAGGTCAGAGTATGAGGACGAATCGAACTGCTCGGTAGACAAAGTCTCTGTGCCAGAACAGAAACAATCACCACCTACAGGGACCAGCACGATGGAAACCATGATGGCTCAACTGTTGGCCCACCTGGATAAGGTTGACCAACGATTGGAGAGGTTAGAAAGTAGGTCAACAGCAGATAACCACGGCAAAAACTGGACAAGACATAAACAAGTTAGACAGCCGCGACCTGCAAATCCATCACTCCAGTGGACAACTGACGGTCGACCAATCTGCCTGTACTGCTCACAGCCCGGACATATTGCACGGTACTGTCAGGGAAACAATCGCCCTCTGTAAGGCAGGTCCAGGCTACAGAGGGGCGAGGTTATGGCTTAAGAAACAAAATGGAACAAGCAATGAGTCTCAAACAAGACTTGAAGAGAAATTATCAGATATTGAAAAAGAACCTCAAATTACAAAAGAAAAATTAGATTTGAAGCTTTCTGAACTTCAGAAATTGGGAAACTAAGCTAACAGATACTATAGCCTTGGTGGAAGAACTTAAGAATTCAAAAGACTTGTTAATAATAGAAAAAATGAACTGTGAAATGAACTTGGATGTTGAAAAGTTTCAAGTGAACAATTTGTTGGCTGAGAAAAATGATGATAAGGAGGAAATTGGTAGACTTAATAATGAGATCTTAATGTTAACCATGAAACTGGATAGGGAAAGTTCATGCAAATTAAAAGCACAGGAGAAATGTTCATCTTTAGAGTGTCTGTTATCTGAAGAAGAAAATAAAAATATTAGACAACAGAACGGTGTTGGCAAACTAGAAGAAATGATAGAAAAAGAAAGGCTATTGAATCAACAGTTAGGAAAGCAAGTATTAGAACTAATGAAAAAGGTTGAAAATAATACACGTCTTATAGCAGATAAAGAAAAAGAAGTAGAAGTTTTGCACATTTCTATTGAGAATCTTAAATCAGTGAATACAGAAAAAGAAAATGAAGTGAAGAATTATACAGATGAACTTGAATTGCTACAATCTAATACAAATATGCAGCTAAAAGAAATCCAAGATCTAAAATTGCAGATAAGTAATTTAAATAATGAAATGGATAAGTCACTGATATCACATGAAAACAAAATTACTATAACAGAAGAACAAAATAAAGAACTAGAAAACAGATACAGTCTCTTAAGGGAAAATTAGAATTTGAATCAAAGGTTTTAGGTTACTTACAGTTGAAAAAGATTTAGATTGGGTGAAAATGTTATAAGAAGAACCAGTTGTAACACCTTGTAGAGGACATCCTCCCAAGAATTCCAAATTAACTGATTCAGCTAAAAATCAGACAACTACTAAAAAACTTATCCATTGGGAAGAAATAGATGATGAATATGATGAGGATGATATATATAATCGTAGAAGATTAAAACTTGAGGAACACTATGATCTTTTTGAGGATGGAGAGCCTAGAAGGAAATCTATTCGTCGCAATACTGAAGAAGCTCTTAAATATCCTTTCTGTGAGAAAGCCTTTATTGGCTTGGTTAAACATATTAAAGGAAAACATAGAGATGAGCACAACTATGAGGAGGAAATGAGAAATGCAAAATGGAGGGAAAGAATTATGAAGGTATCAACAATTGGTTTAGATGAATCGGGAGAAACTTGTACAGAATGTGGCAAAGTTACCAAAAATAGAAAAGACACATGGAACTGCATCAACAAAACCGCATGCAAATACCTTGTCCTATCTGTTCCAATGTTGTCTTAAAAACTGGAATGAGTTCTCATATGAGAACAGTGCATTCTGGACGTAAACCATACAAGTGTCCACACTGTGATTATGCTTCTGCTTTTAGAAGAAATGTCAATACACATATCAAGGGTACGCATCTTCACACCCGTCAGTACCTCTGCAATACTTGTAAAGCTGCTTTTAAAACACTTGGAGCCCTTATTGGCCACCCAAGGCGGGTGCATGAGAGTTGGAAATCTCCCAATCAGAAGATCTTTATCTGCTCAGTGTGTGAGAAAAGATTTACAAAAGAAAACTTTCACCTTACATGTGTGACATGTGGCATGAAACTTTCAAGCGCAAGAAACTACTTTTGGAGCATATCGGTAAAATTCCAGTGTCTCATGGAGAATCAGCTAAGGCTATGCAGGCATACATTCGTAAGATTGTTTGGAACTTAGCTATGATTGTTAACTGATGTTTTAGAATGTTTAGAAATTGAAAAATAGATATGTTGTGATTTTGTTTCTGAGGAATATGATGTAGACACATTTAGTATTTTGAAATAGGGATAACTGTCAATCGTGTATGAACGTGACGACATTGACAGTAAGTAGAACAGTAACTTTTTTTATGGTGTTGCGTTTGACATTGGAGGAGTGCACCTGCCAAGCGTTGGTTGTGGTTGAGAACACACAAAAAAAACGGCGGGGGTGGATGTAACTAGTGTAGTTACTAAAGACGATTAATAAGAACGCAATACAGTCTGTCAACTAAGACATGACCAAGGCCAAACTGAACTGATGCAACGGATGCAGGTGGTGTGACAGAAATAGAAACAAAAGTCTAATAATAACTAATACAAGGCGACTGCGTAGTTAGGAGGCGATATAATAGGACGGCACGACAGAAGGGAAGAGAACAGAAGTTGAAGCCTGAACTGTAGATACGTGTTTTAATTTGTGAGAATAAGATTGGAAGCCTGAACCATGGACACGTGTATTCTGATGTGTGCGAACTAGTGAGGACAGTGGGGGTCAGTTGGTTCATTGTATTCTTGTGGAACATTGATGCATTGCTATGTGGAACATTTCTATTGATGCAATTAATAAAGAGATAAATGTAAACCTGCACTTCAGAGTATCTGTATTGTGATTAATGTTGTGTGCCGGTCAAAGATAGCACAAGTAAATACACTCTGTAACATTTGGCGTTGCGAGTAAATACACTCGGTAACATATAGATGGGGTTCCAGATATTAAAAACATTCATAGTATTAGGCAAAAATGAAAGTAGCCATAGTCACTTTTTTTCCGAAACTCTAAAAATTCAGTACTCTAGATATGGACATACTATGATCAAACATGCAAAACTGAGCATACTTTTAATATGTATTAGTAAAATCAGCACGTTAACCGTAACTGCTTCAGAAAATGCAGTTTAAGAGTTACAAATCATTGACATTACCACTTGGCCTCAGAAGTAACTTATTACTTATGTAGTCTAATTTCATCATAACCCATTTAATCCCAGCCACACTGAAATGTAATATTCTGAAATCCCAGCCAAAGGGAAATGACTTTACTCTGGTTGGGTCAGGAAAAAATTAATAACAACTCTATCTTGCACCACAAATGCAGGGCTGCCTACCTGAAAAAAACCCTGCAATCCTGGATCCAAAATTTCAATGTTTTTATAGAGGATCAACAAAAAGTTTCTTTTTTTTCAAAATATAAGAACAACTGGTATAA